TTTTTATAATATGGCTTTGCTTGATGCGGAAATGGCCGGGTTTTGGGCGAAACTACCTTTGATTAGGAAGCTGTTGTTGTCGCATCCTGAGGTGGAATTCCTGTGGTGGATGGATAGTGATGCGATGTTCACGGATATGGTGTTTGAGTTGCCATGGGAGAGGTATAAAGATCACAATTTTGTAATGCACGGGTGGAATGAGATGGTTTACGATCAAAAGAACTGGATTGGGTTGAATACGGGAAGTTTCTTGTTGAGGAATTGCCAATGGTCTTTAGATATTCTCGATACTTGGGCTCCAATGGGGCCGAAAGGGAAGATTAGGGAGGAGGCTGGTAAACTCTTGACTCGGGAGCTTAAGGATCGGCCAGTTTTTGAAGCTGATGATCAGTCTGCAATGGTGTATATATTGGCAACTCAGAAGGATAAGTGGGGTGATAAAGTTTATCTCGAGAATGCATATTATTTGCACGGTTATTGGGGCATTTTGGTGGACCGGTATGAGGAAATGATCGAGAATTATCATCCCGGCCTTGGCGATCATCGGTGGCCACTTGTTACTCACTTTGTGGGTTGCAAGCCTTGTGGGAAGTTTGGTGACTATCCAGTTGAGAGGTGCTTGAAGCAGATGAATCGTGCATTTAACATGGGGGATAATCAGATTCTGCAGATGTACGGGTTCACTCATAAAACACTTGCTAGTAAGAGAGTGAAGAGAACAAGGAATGAAACAAGCAATCCCCTAGAAGTGCAAGACGAGCATGGGTTGCTTCACCCTTCATTTAAAGCTGTGAAGGTATCATCTTCTTGAATACACACAAAAGGAAAGGATTGAAGTCATAATCTGAATTTATAGTTCATATCATTTTGTATCCTGTTGTTATTTATCACATTGCCTTGGAGCCATGTTATTGTGGTTGTTTTGGATGGCGATTTTTCTGTCACATAGTTGTAAAGTTTCAATTTGCAACTTGTTACTATATTACTTCACATAATTTTCAATGAGGAGGCACAGTCCAATTATTCATGCATTTGTTCGATATGATGTTGTGTTTAATCAGTTAAAATCGTATGGCATAGAATGAAAATCACAGATGAGTTTGTATATGATGATCTTTTAGATAGGCGAGTTAATATAAATATATCATAAGTACAGTTCTTTATCTACCAGTCCCTTGAATAATGGTCATGGATGAATATTATATACTTGTAGCATGTTTGGTAAGATGGATTAGACAGTATTTGACTATATTAAGCCCCTTTTAGGTAATGTTAAATTTTTTGATTAAAATCCGAGTCATAGTCAACAATTAATTTCAATTACACATTTTATAGAATCCACAATTTTTCAACCACCTGTTCCATTAACTTTCATTAAAGTCTGCTAAAAGTATGATTTTAATCTCTACCAAACAGAGGCTAAATAAGTAGGTTTTATGTCTACTACGGTATAATGTTGTGTACCAAACATGCAGTTATCAATTTTTATTCTATTGGCCTTGCTGCAATGAACTAGGTTGATTGAGTTCTTCCTAGTTTATCAATTAAATATGGTCATATCGACTTTGAGGAAGATATCGAGTTTCTTCTTAGTTGAGCTCGAATCCTGTGGAAGTGTTGGGTTGAGAACTTAATACAGCTGGTATAATTGAAGATTGATATCATTCACGTGCATTGCACTAATATTGGAGATGTATTTAGATTCAGATTTTCCGGTTCAAAGTCTGTATTTACATTATCTCAAGTGCCTGAATGTTAAATATTTAAGAATTTCTGTTTCTTGGTTGCAAGTTTTCTTCAACCATTGAATACTGAATCGGAAGTTATATCTTAAGTGCTTGCTTTAATGCTCGGCTGCAAATATAGAAACTGCTGGTTGAGTCTTATCTTGTTTGATGTGGGTTGGCATTCTTTTCCATAATTTGAGTCCAAGAATTACTAATGATGTAATAAAATAATTGAACAGTTTCTACGTAAGTGAGTTTTTGTGCCCAAAGAAAGTAACTTTGAAACGTGTCTGGAAAAAAGTAACTTAAATGTTACTTATAAGCTTACCCAAAGTGCTGTTGGATCCTTCTAGTTTTTTAACTAAAATGTGATCGAATTTGAGTTAGCTCACTGAGTTTTCATTTTAGTTGAGTTTGAATCCGGCGGAACTGTTGACATGAGAAATCAACAAACTGGTAGAATTGAAGATCAAGATATTACCAATATCATTAGATTCACCTGCAGGAATTAGTTCTTTAATGTCGAGCTTATCCCTCCTAATTACAGGGTTCTTTCAAGACTTCGTTAATGATTGGATTTAGTTCTTCACTGTGCCCAACTTTTTTTGAAGAGAGCACGAGTTACTACCTTCTTCGCTTTGTCGAAATGTCTTCTACTTCTCAATCTTATCAATAACTAAATTTATAATTTAAACAGCTTATAAACACTTATCGAACATGCGCTGAAAATCGAAGTGCAGTTCGAACACAATAAAGATATGGTAATGGATACGAGGAAGAATAATTAGGATTATGAGACTGAAAAGAGATATGCTGTATGGCCAGGGGCCCATGAAGCAGATTAAATTTATTGGAAAAAGTGCTTGTTTTCCCAAAATAATTCTCAATCTTGAGATTCACGTGTGGTTAAAACCAGTCAGTTGATGTTATTCACGGTTGTAATATCACTAATCCGAAGTACAACATTTGGTCCTATGAAGAACGGACACGTGGGCTGTTGCACCATATTCCATCACACCATTGATAGGAAATCATGAAATCCAATTACGTCAATCATGGCTTTTAAAAACTCATTTGGACTGCAGTCACTGAACTAGTTTTATTTCACAATGGTCATTGAACTTTTAATTTTATTTCAATTTAGACGTTCTAACTTTGATCTAACCGAGTCACATACTCTCAAAGCTGATGTGATTACTTTACTTATAAGATACAAAGAAGATGGCGTGACTTAAAAGTTTTTTAATATCACAGCTTTATTGTTTGAATTACCAAAAACTTGTTGGTGGGATGTCTTCAAGTAACACGAACGAAGTATTCAAATAATACAAGAAAAAATTAAAGGAAGAAGTTGAAAGATGTAAAATTTCATTCTTCGTTTCTACACACATATATTCTCGGGCATAGTTGTTCACAAAAGGTAGCATGGGACATCGTTGGCACAAACTCGATTTCAAGAACGTGTTAACGTTTTCCTTAAAATTGCTCCCACCAATGCCGTGATGCAGTTAGGAACACTAATCCACCTCCATGATATAATGAAGCTTAATGTTGTATGCGTTGCGAATCCATAAGGATAACTTGAACGCCAAAGTTCATCAATGTCTATATTTTGTCTCTCGAATATGACAAATTATAAACAAGAATTTTGTAGAAAAAATGATGCAAACGATAAGTTTCATATGCATGAAAAATTCAAGGGGATGCATGAACATTAATTTGGCATATTTCAACTCTCAATCAATGTAAATTATAAGTGGTTTTAAAGGATTTCACACAACTCTTCATATAGAGTTGCAATCTTTCATTTAAGTCTTTTGAAATAAAATAGGAATATTTTCACACTACAGTCAATGTCAAACGAGCGTTGCAAGTTATTATGAAATGTTTTATAAGTGTCGTAAAAGTAATATTTAAATACACGTGAATGTTAAATAATTTAGAATTAATATCGGGGAATACATAATGACAACGAATGTTAAATCATTTATTTAATTTTCAATTAAGTAAAACTGGATGTTAATTGGTATACATGAACGTGAATAATGAAATGCATTCTTGAATGTGAAATTTTAATTAACTCATAATTAGAATTAATAGCACCAACATGTATTACATTAATGAAAGCACACATGTTAAATGAATGTTAATAGATGGTAACTAAATGTTAAATAAAGAGAAATGATATTCATCCCCACTGAGGATGCATCCCCAGTCTACGTGGCGTGAATGTGGCATTAAATGATAGGTGAAATTAAATAAGTCATTTAATTTCTCATATTATTTAACCAATCATTTACATTCACATAGATTGGGGATGCATCCCCACTGGGGATGAATAGTATTTTTCTAAATAAATGAATGTTAATTAATTAATAATTAATAATAGGGAATTCATGCATTAATGAAAGCACATGTATGAAATGAATTTGTCAAATCTACATGTACATTGATAATAACTAAAATGAATGTGAATGTTAAATAATTGAGAATTAATAATATGGAATTCATACATTAATGAAGCAAACATGTGAAATGAATACGTCAAATTTATAGGTACATTGATAGTTACTAAATGGTTAAATAAATTAAATACATATTGAAAAACGAAAAATAAGATAGTATAGAAATAATTAAGTTATAGTAGGACTAGAATCATCCAAAAAATTATTATCGCTTAATGTGATATTTATGATCAGTTTGACATGACTTTTATTTCTGCTTTTACTTTATGTAGAAGAACTTTTAAATAAATCTATCTTATTTTTTTACATAGTGAATAATGTCAAATGTTAAATAAGGTGGTATGGTAGAGAGGCTTTGAACTGACAATGAATAAGTCACGTGTCCTTTATCATAGATTTTCATAAATGAAAGGCCTTGTTTGAGTCACCTTTTTATAGAATGAGAATGAAAAATATAGTTGTTATTGAGGCCCATACAAGAAATAGAAAATTCGAATTGAAATGTTGATGTGATGAATAACAGTTATATTTTTCATTTTAATGAGAAAATAAGGTGGCCCAAACGGGGGCTAAATAGCCAAAACCACCTTAGAGAGTGCACCATCCCTAATATTCATGTTGGTCAACTTATCTAGAATACCCATGTAATTAAAGTATTCCGACACACGAATAGGTTATGTGTCCATTATCCTGAATTTTCATGAATGTTTTAAATAGTTAGCCAAGCCAGTCCAACGAGGTACCATCCCTAACATTCATATATGTCAACTTATATAGAATGATCACGTAATTAAAGTATTCCATGGTTATATCTATATAAGTTGATTAAAAGTTAAGTAGATTAACTTATTCTTTCGTATTATATGTACCAAGCACATTTCTTTAGAGATAAATAAATATAATGCATATTGCTCATCGAGCTCAAGATTTCGATAGTGCAATGTTGGGTTGAGGTTCCATTATTAAAAATTAAGTATTTAGCCCTTGTTTGTCTACCATTTTTCAAAAAATTGTTTTCTACAGTAATCAATTTCTACCACACATTCAAATAATAAAATATTCTATACATAAATCGATAAAGTTTCTTT